GCCTTTTGCCAATCAGATCCCATGAGCCGTGCTCAGGGAGAAATTTACGTGGAACCATGCGAGGGCATCAAGGTTGAACGGGGGTCCCTGATTCGGCTTTTGGTGAACGTCTACGGACTTGACGACGCACCACTTGCGTGGCGCAAGACAATCGTCGGATATCTCAGGTCGAAAGGTTTCACTCGCAGCCTCCTGGAACCGTGTTGGTGGATGAGATGCGCCCCAGACGGCACCCTCCTCAATATGGTGCTGCTAGAGGTGGACGATTTCTTCATCTCCAGCAACTCCCAGGAGTCCCGGGCCTGGATCAGGGACACGCTCACCTCCAGGTTTCGCTTCGGCAAGTATCGGGACTGTCACGCCGGGGCCGTCGAGTACGCCGGTAGGAGCGTCACCATCGGGCCTCAGAAGACGACAGTGGACCAGGAAAAGTACATCCTGGAGGAAGTGCGAGCGATCAGTCTCGAGCGTGGGCGTCTTGGACAGAAGGACCCCCCCCTTGCCCAGCCCGAGTTCAAGGCCCTTCGGTCCCTCATTTACAAGCTGAACTGGGTCGGGCGGGAATCCAGACCGGAGGCCGCAGGAACGGCCAGCATTTTGGCGAGTCGCCTGAGAGCGGCCACCACCCGGGACGTGGCCGTCGCCAACAAAATGGTGAGGTACCTTCGGTCCACGGCCTCGAGAGGCCTGGCGATCTGGCGTCTCGATCCCGAGAAAATGGCGTTCGTGTCTTTTTCCGATGCGGGTGGAGTCGGGGCCCACGAGGGCCTCCTGGACGATCAAGGTCTGCCCGCCGATCCTACGCAAGGGGCCTGGATGGTTTTGGCGACGGACAGGAGCGTGATTGATAACTGCGCCGTGAGAGCGTCCACCCTGGGTTGGAGGAGCTCTAAGCTCCGCCGTAAGGTTACTTCCACCCTTGCAGGCGAGACCCAGGCACTGGCACAGGCCGTGTCTGAGGTCGAATTTCTTCAAGTGCTTTATCGTGATGTGGTTTTCGGATACGTCGATGTCTCGGACATGTCTCGATGCTCTGGGCCTTTTACTACGGTCCTGCGTCGGGACTGTCGACTCGGAGGAAGGGAGGACCAGGTCCACGTGGTGGACGCGAAGAGTATATATGACACTATGTTAAAGGAGGGAAGCGCCAGCGCACGTGACAGGAGGACCGCTTTGGATTTGGCAGCCGTGTGTCAAGCTCTGGAAGGAGCTAGGGGCCACATCAGATGGGTCCCTCACGCCCGTATGCCAGTAGACAGCCTCACTAAAGACGACATTAGCAAGGGAAATGCCGCCCTAGGCAGTCTGCTCGCCACCGGCCGCTTGGTCCTCGTGGACGAGGACGGGGAGATGTCTCGTCGCAAGCACGACCCCGGCAGCAAGGATCGATCCCACGCAGCGTCCAAGAGGACGCTGACCCAAGACTCTCGACTCATCTCGTGGGAGGACTTCCAGTCGAGCTACGCAGTGTCGGAGTCCGGGGATCCGGGATCCTCCTCCTCTCTCTCCCTCTCTCCTTCTCCCTGAGCACTGACTTATTTGTATAGTCATTGTTTTGCCTATAGGGGGTGCTAAACCTAGGAGAAAGTTTCACCCATGTGATAGGTGTCCTTTGATAGGTTTAGCATATTGATCTTTCTTGTATAGCCCAGCATTCCAGCTCACGGGGCAGCCAGGATTGTCCGCTATGATGTTCAAGGAAGGTTGTACTGTACTTCGTCGTTGTGGCTCAAGGCCAAAAGTACATTTGTTCATCCTGCTGCTGCCACAGATTGCTCTGCTGTTTAGCGATCCAGTGTATACTCGCCACATGCTGAAAACAAGGTTGGGTGCGTCCCCTGGCTATTCACAGTCTGATGTTTCCGTTTTTTTAAGATGGTGTTCCCGTTGCAGAGCGGGCCTCGTTTTCGGATCGGCGATTCGCTCCCGTCGTTTAGAATGGCGCTATCGGCCCAATCCGAGCTACATTTTTATGTTTTTTGTTTCCATCGTTGTTATCCCCCTTAATTTTCCATCTGCCATGTTTTCTTAGTCCTCCTGCACCTCCCGCTGCGTCCACTTGAGCTCGTGCTGCTGCTGTTCGTCCTCTTCCTCCTCCTTGTCCTCCTTTTCCTTTTGCTCGTCCTCGTGCTCGTTCGCCACGTTTTCCTCCAATGTACACAGCTCCATTTTTCTGATTGCGCATAACACTTTGAGGTTCCCTTTGGCGTTCCAGGTCCGCTCTGACACGCGTCGGCGGATAGAGAAACACAGCGACATGGGAAGGGACGGGTGGGAGGGGTAGGATGTCAGATATGGCGCGAGCTCGGCTATCTTGTCTTCCTCCCTCTCGTCCCTCGCCTCCCTCGCTTCGCTCTCCTCCCTCTTGCTCCCGCCTCCCTCGCCTTCCTCTTGTTTTTTTTTGGTCTTCGGCATGCTGTGGGGGCATTCAGCCCGCAGCATCAGCCGAGGAGCTGCGCGCGCGCACCCAGCCCCTCCCGCAAGCGCAGCACGGGTAGGCTGGAGGCCCACGGCAGAGAGGACAGCCAGGGCAAGCAAAGACGAACACCACCTCCCATTCCTCCATACCCCTCGTCAGGACGGTAAACATAGCAAGGAAGGACCAAGAGAGATGCTGCAGATGATGCTGATGAAGATGATGAGGATGATGAGGATGGTGATGATGATGATGACGAGGATGATGCTGATGATGCCGCTGATGATGCTGATGGTGATGATGATGATGCTGATGAGGACGATCATGATGATGCTGATGATGATGGCGACGACGACGACGATGATGATGATGATGCTTATGCTGACGCTGATGCTGATGCTGATGATGAGTATGATGATGCTGATGATGATGACGATGATGCTGATGATGATGTTGATGATTCTGATGCCGATGTTGGTTATGATGCTGATGATGACGTCATGATGTTGCTCACGATGATGATGACGACGATGATGATGGTGACGGAGATGCTGCTGCTGATGATGATGATGATGATGATGATAGTGATGATGCTGATGGTGATGATGATGCTGCTGATGATGATGATGATGATGCTGATGCTGACGCTGATGCTGATGCTGATGATGAGTATGATGATGCTGATGATGACGACGATGATGCTGATGATGATGTTGATGATTCTGATGCTGATGATAGTTATGATGCTGATGATGACGTCATGATGTTGCTCACGATGATGACGACGATGATGCTGATGATGGTGACGGAGATGCTGCTGCTGCTGATGATGTTGATGCTGATGCTGATGCTGATGCTGATGCTGATGCTGATGATGATGATGATGATGATGATGATGATGATGATGATGATGATGCTGATGCTGATGCTGCTGATGATGATTATGATGATGATGATGATGATGATGATGATGATGATGATGATGATGATGATGATGATGATGATGATGATGATGATGATGCTGTTGATGATGATTATTATGAGGATGATGATGGTCATGATGATTATGATGAGGTGGGGTAAGAACTGCAGGCGACCTGGAAAGAGGGCCAAGGGCAAGCCGAGGCGGCCCCAGACCAGTCAAACAGTGCAGCCACGGTCCGCTGTCCGTGCGCGAGCGGTGCAGGCCAGCGTTTTGGGATACAGGATGGCAAGGGGCAAAAAGTTACGATGAGCAAGTCGCCAGAGTTGACGGTGAAGTGCTAGCACAGCCAAGACCACGCTCCACGGTGTCCGCAGGCCCAGTGGCCGGCGTCGAAGAGCGCACGCGGGAGGCCCACTGGCCAATACCACGGCAAGCGTACCTGTGTCAAGGAGCGGGCCGCGCTCTCACGTCGGGCACCCTGGAACGGGCGGCACCCTGACGGCAGGCGCCGCCGCTGGGCATGCAATGTGTTCTTCGCCTCCTCCAGTTCATCCTCCATCCACCCCGCCAGGTGAGCGACGTGCGAAGCGCCGATTGCACTCGCGAGAGGCCGAACGACCAAGGGCCACGTGCGAGGGCATGCCTGCTCCACCACCACCACCACTCCTCGGATCGCCGCCTCGGACGTGTCATGCGAAAGAGAAGGCGAGAGACCCATCGGCAAGAGGCGCACATTCCCTCTGTGAGAGGCCCCGATCGCCAAGGTCACGCGCGGTGTAGACGCGGGAGGCCGAACGGCCAGGGTCGCACGCGAGGTCAGGGCAGGGCTGGACCTGAACGCTTTTTTGCTGGACTTCGGCTGTGTTTAATTTTGGGTTTTGGGATGGAGGTGCAGGAAAAAAGGTAGGGCAAAACGAAAAGCAAAACGAACACAAAAGGGGAGCAGGAGGAGGACGCGGCCGAAAGAGGGGGCGGAGGTAGCGAGCCGCTCAGGGGGACGGGTCACGCCCCGTTTAGGCAAAACAGGCGGGACGGAGAGAAAGGGGAAAGAAGGGGAATCCAACGCTACTGACCCATCCCCCCCCCGCGGCCAGCCCGCGCACCTCGGGAGATGGAAAGCGACGTTGACCTCCACAAACAAGCTTGCTGGGCAGTCTGCCGGACAGCTCCAAGACTAGGCCACATGGGCCTGCCAGGCCTACCACCGCTCCAATGAAGGCGTGCAGCATCAGGCCGAAGGGAGTCGGATAAGTGCCCACTCCAGGGGCTGACATCGGAGCGATGGTAGACCGAAGCACTATTTCCGGCGCTCGCCAAGCTACACGATACACGGCATCAACGTCCGCAGATTTTGTCGATACGCTCCTCCACATCCTCCGTGATTCTAGGACAGCTCTCGCTTCAGCGCGACGCAGCAAGAAGGACAATTGCCTGGCGCTCGCCAAGCTACACGGTACACGAAATGTAATGCACCGATTTTGTCGTAACGCTCTTCCCCAAGCCTCCTATGAAATCTCCTGGAGCACGCCGAGCTGCACGACGCTCGGCAGTGAAAAGGACGCGATGGTGCTCAAGATGATAGGGATGGGCGAGCGGAGTCGAGATGCGCCGCCGCGCCCGAGCAGGGAACCGACCCGAGGTCGATCAGCTTGCTAAGAGTTAGGAGGACGGCGCCATCACAACTGCGAATGCAAAGTCGAATGTGCCTTCAGTCGAGCAGACCTCGTCCATGCAGCGCTCCACCTCAATTTGCGTTGCCCTGCCGTTCTGGACGTCCTCGCCCATCCTCGCAATCAGCACGTCGAAGACGCAGTCGACGGCCACACCACTGTGGGAGTCGTACCTGCGAGCAGCCTTGCGGAATCCGCCCCGCGGCAGACGGGGACTCTTGGGGGCGGCATAGGGGGCGCCCCGCACGCAGCGCCAGAGGCATCCGTGCCCCCTCCAGGACCGCCAGCAGGTCGGGAACGGTGAGCTGGGTGGGAATCCAGCAGAGGAGTTCGCCGCGGACATCCTGCGCGCTCGTCGCGCCCCGAAGGGCGCCTCCGCGGACGTCGCCCTGAAGTTGACGAGTAGCACCGCCCTGAAGAGCAGCACCTCCCGCAGACGAGCAGCATCCCCCTGCTGCGCGGCGTCGCCCCGAAGCTGCGGAGCTCCCCGGAGCTCTGCTCCTCCCTGGAGCGCGGCACCGTCCTGAAGGTGAAGCGCACCCAGTCTTAAGTCGGGCCTGTCCCTCTAGAGGGGGGATAGGCTGGGGACTATTTTTTGTTTTTTTTTGTCCATGTGGGGGCATGTTTGGAGTATTTTTCATTTTTCGCCCAAAATCCCCCTGTATGGGGGACAGTCCCGACCTAAACCCAGTCCCCGAGACCGAAGAGCAGCGCCGTCCTGGAACGCATCGAGAGGAGCCCCTTCAGCTCGGGGCGCAGCATGAGGTGCCAAGAACTCATCGTCGATCTCGCCATCGTCGTCCTCGCCCGCAAGCGTGCCATCGTCCACGTGCTGCTCCTCTTCCTCAGCCTCATCGTTCACGTCGATGCCCAACTTGCGGCCTTCAGGTACTCCAGCTTCTTGTCCAAGCGTCTCGCAATCGCCGGCTCGGCTGGCTCGCTCGGGGCCGCGACGACCAGCGGCCGCAGGCCTGGCACAGCTGAGGGATGCTGCTTGATGCACTGCAGCATGCCGACGTTCTCGAGCTGCGCGTTGCGGATCGCTGCCCGTCTCGTGCGAGGGCGGCGCCGCATGGAGACTCTCGAGTGCCCTGGTCAACACGCCATTGGCGTCCGAGGCCAGCCCCGAGCAGATGCAGAGTCAGCGGTCGAAGCACGGTATAACTAGGCTTTTCCGCCGTCGGGGACGCCTGCCCTTGGGCGGCTGGAAAGTTTATACCCTACGGTTAAGTCTGGCCTGTCCCTCTACAGGGGGAATATTCAAAAATACTCAGAAAAACGTCAGGGAACTTTTTTTTGGGCTATTCTGAACTATTTTTCAATCTTTTTGGACATTGTTTTGTATATATATATATATATGTATATATATATATATATATATAGATACATTCGTCCAACATCGGCCTGTAGGGGGACAGGCCCGACTTAACCCTGCGGTGCCACGCAGGGGCAGCCGCCGAGGGGCAGGCGCCCCCGACGGCGGAACAGCCTATCTTAGAAGCACAGTCTTTCGGCGGAAGCCCGTCGACCAGCCCCAGCCTTCAGTCGGGCGTGTCCCTCTACAGGGGGAGAATTCTAAAAGTTGAAAAACAAGTCAGGCGACGACGTTTTGAGTATTCGTGGGCATTTTTTTTCAAGTGTTTTTTTGAGTATGTCTAATTTTTCGTCCAAATCCGCCTGTAGGGGGGCATGCCCGACCGAACCCCAGCCGCGCGCAGCCTGGCCGAGCGTCGCCGGGCGCTCGCGGCCCACCCCGCAGCAGCTCCGGCTGATCTCCTGGCGGCCGCCTCTGACGGCCGCGGGCCTCCGAGCCGGCGCGGAGAGCCCCGACCTCGCGGGCGGCCCGCTAGCGCGGCGCGCGGCGGCCGGGAGCGGCCAAGAGGGGGGTGAAGGCCAGGGTTAAGTCGGGCCTGTCCCTCTACGGGAGGAGTATGCACAAGTGGTCAAATGATAGTCCGGGCACGGTTTCTTCGTTTTTCTTTTGGGGGGGTATTTGTAATTCTTCGTCCAAGATCCGCCTGTAGGGTGACAGGCCCGACCTGAGGCTAGGGCGGAGTGGATGTCATGGCCAGGGCCACGCCATCTCCCCAGATTCCGTGGCCCTTCTGCTTCTTTCAGCGCGTCTTCCCTGGCCTCTCCCCCCTGATCCACGCACACGCCTCGGGCCATGATTTGCACCCCCCCCTCTTGGACGCCCCTGAGTCAAAAGAGGTCAAGGCTTCTCCTCTCCCACTCCCCCGCCTCATCCTCTCTCTCCCCCTCCCCTCCTCCCCAGCGCTCACTGCTGGGAGCGTCAGCGCGGAGGTGAGACGCCTCTTACGGCTCAGTGCGGCGAGTGATGAGGAATATGCGGCCCGCAGAAGGCACCCGCACCCATGCTCCACCCATGCCCTCCACCACCTCTCCTCTCCTCTCCTCTCCTCCTCTCCTCTCCTCCTCCTCTGCTCTGCTGTCCTCTGCTCTGCTCTCCTCTCCTCTCCTCTCCTCTCCTCTCCTCTCCTCTCTCTCTCCTCTGCTCCTTGCTCTGCTCTGCTCTGCTCTGCTGCATGCTCTGCTCTGTCTTGCTCTGCTCTGCTCTTGCTCTGCTCTTGCTCTGCTCTGCTCTGCTCTGCTCTGCTCTGCTCTGCTCTGCTCCCTCCCTCCCCCTCCCCCTCCCGCCCTCCTCACATCCTGTCCCCTTTGTCCCTCGGAGGCGACGATCGGGGCGAATAGCCCAGTGGCGGGCATTACTTTTGTTCGCCAGGGAGCCTCGCCGAAGACATGGACCGTCGGCGCCACTGGACACACGTGTTGCTCCCTACTAAGCTATCCGCCCCTGTCGTCGCCCCCGAGCCCCTGCTCCTGCTCCTCCCGCCCCAGGGCCTGCGGTCACCGGCGTGTGACTGCACGCCCCTGGCTGGGGCTACCCTCTCGCGGACCTCCGATCCGATCCGATCCGTCGGCTTGCACGCCCACGCCCGCGGAGGCGGCCAGGCGCGGCCATCAGAGGTTTCTTTCCCTTCGGTCTGGGTCAGGGGCTGCGGGTTGCAGGCCGGCTGGGGTTTAAGCGGGAACGAGGCATCAATCAGCCTGGGCCGGTTTTTTGACGGTTGCGTAGTCCAGACGCAGAGACTGCTCCTCCTTTTCCTCTCCCACCCTTGCACTTACCTGCTCCAGTCAGTCTGCTGGCCTGTGCTGCCTCCCCCTGCGCCAGGCACTCGCCCAGCACGGGTACTCCCCTGAGCAGATCCAGCAGGTCATCGCGCCGGCTCAAGAGAGGAGGAAGGAGGAGGCGGAGCAGGACGAGGAGGAGGAGGAGGAGGAGGAGGAGGAGGAGGAGGAGACAGAGGAGGAGGAGGTGGAGGAGGAGGAGGAGGAGGAGAAGCGGGAGAAGCTGTGAGGAGCGAGAGGAGCGGGAGAGGAGGAGGCGGAGGAGGTGGAGAGGGGGGGGAGGAGGAGGAGGATGGATGAGGATGATGAGGAGGGAGGAGGAGGCGGAGGAAGAGGAGGTGAGGAGGAGGATGAGGATGTGATGATGAGGTAGGGGAGGGGAGGAGGAGGGATGAAGGGATGATGAGGAGGATGGAGGAGGAGGAGGAGGAGGAGGAGGAGGAGGAGGAGGACAAGGAGAGGGAGGGGGGATGATGATGATGATGATGAGATGATGATGATGATGATGATGATGATGATGATGATGATGATGATGGTGGTGGTGGTGGTGATGATGATGATGATGATGATGATGATGATGATGATGATGATGATGAGGAGGATGAGGAGGATGAGGAGGAGGAGGCGAAGGAGGAGGAGGAGGAGCTGGAGGAGGAGGAGGAGCAGGAGGAGGAGGAGGACGAAGAAGAAGAGGAATCATACTACAACGAATATTGCTAGATTTAATGATGGGTATGTCGCGAAAACTACGACATATACTAAGACGATGACACATAATCTGCGTACTACTAATAATTTGGATCATCAGTGTACGAACAATACTAACGAATCACACAATGACTAACACTAACGATAGTACACACAAAGCGATTGAGAATCCGAATGATACTGTTTATAGCACTAATAAGAATAACACAGGTCATAGTAATGATGGGAACATACTATCAGTAAGACTAAGGTGCATCATAACCAAGAACAACACTACTGATAGTAATACGAGTAGCAGTAATACTTGTGCGTATGATGTGCCAAATATGACATATGCTACAATGCATACACATAGCACTATTACTAGTAATAGCATGCCACTGATAATGACACTACTATGACTCATACTACTACCAATCGTAATAATAGCAAGTTCAACAATGCTCATAATACTTGCATTCATGGTTTGACACATTAGAAAGGAGGAGGAGCAGGAGCAGGAGGAGGAGGAGCAGGCGCATTCTTCCTTATCTTCATTGACCCAGAAGCCTCATGGACCCCAAACCCTGCGAACAGCTTCCACCCCCTCGACTCCCGGAGACCCTCCTCTCTTCCGTCTCCTCCTCGTCCTCTTGTCCTCCTCCTCGTACAAGAGGAGGATAAGCATGAGGAGGAGGGGTGCGCTCTGAACCGAGCTTTGAGGCGGATCTACTCGTGGCCACGATGACGCCCCCCAGGACCCCAGAGGGACCCCAAAACGCTTAAAAGCTCCACCGACGACGACGACGACCGCCGCCGCCGAATGCCGTCGACTGACTCGCTCGGGCTATGGTCTGGGCTCGGTCTCGGGTTCGTGCTCGGGCTCGGGCTGGTGCTCGCGGGCCGTCGTGGGACCGCCGATGGCCGCCGAGCGCCGGTAGGTCATCGGACACCAGATCGCTCAGCTGCAGCAGCAGCAGCACGCGCTGCAGCTGCAGCAGCAGCAGGCGCTGCAGCTGCAGCAGCAGCAGGCCCCTCTCGTCCAGGAGGAGTGTGCCGGAGAGGGAGGGGGGAGGACGGGAGGGAGAGTAGAGGAGGGGAGGGGAGGGGCGTGAGCGAGTGAGCGAGTAAGCGAGGGAGCGAGGGAGCGAGAGATCGAGACTCGGGTATAGCCAGGACCCCGGGTAAGGGGACCCGGTTAGTGGTAGGGCCCTGGGGCCCCCCAATTGGCCAGATTCACTAAACCAGGTTTGCCGTAACTGGTATTTTTCGGGTGACGGCAGTTCCGGTTAGTGGAAATGGGACGGGGGGACGCCCCCGGTACAAATCACTAAACCAGGTTCCACT